ATTAGCTATTTTCCAAGTATAAATTGGACAAAAAATATGATCAATTTTTTCCTTAATTATATCTATTTTTAATGCTCTTCTCTCTTCTATTATCTTATTTTTGTGTATGCATTTTGTGATAAAAATTGATCTGATCAGAATTGGTATTTATATTAGCATAATTTCTAATTTGATACGATAGAATATTTTTTTAAGCATTGAAAACTTTACAGTAAAATCATATAGTCCAAAAATAGTGAAATAAACAGATTTATGTTTCAAACACTTATGATAAACGTATTATATCTGTCAAATTCCAAATTAAAGTAAAAGAATATATTCAAATTTCTATTCATCACTCATCAGACTCTTTTTTTTTCCATCAGACTTGTATAAAATTAAAATTTTATTTTCAAAAAAGGCATTTGTCCAAGTGGACTAGCACATTTGTTATCAAAATATCTCGAACTTAAAAAATATGCTAATTAATATTCTTTCACTTATTTCCACCCTAATTTTCATAAATCTAAAGTCAAAAAAATACTCAAAGGCTATTAGTTATTTTTTGTTTTCAAAATTTTTCAACAGCAATTATTATTTATTCTTTGCTAAAAATTAAATAGCTAATCAAAAGTATGCATGTAAAGTATGAACTTTTTCAAATTATTTTTCGTTACATTACTTCATGCTAAACTTGGTGTGCATACAGTAAAAAAATTATTGCTTTAAAAAGAAAATATAATAAGGATTCTGTATACATATTGAAGAACAAATATTTTACTTTCAAACTTTAGCAAAATATCACAGAGAATGGAAAGTTAAAACATATAATAAAATAAAATCATAGAAATAATTAGCATTTTAGGAAATGAAAAAATGCTCAGAAATAAAAGTGTAGACCAAATCTGCTCTTTAAATCATTCATTTTCAATTTATTCTAACAAGTTAGACTTTTCAAAATAAATCTCTTTTTTAAATGATATAAAATTTGTTTTGATGAAACTTGCAAATATTTTAAAATGTATTCAATTTAAATTTGCTTTTTAAGTAATTATCGAACAAAAATTATCTTTGAAGAATGATTTTCTAGCAAAAATTTCGGTTTATATTTTGTATACATATATGTAGCAAAAGCAAAAAGATTTCGATTTTCGTTTATCAGCAAAAAAAAAGGTTGCTTATTGATCAGATCAAACTTCAATAATAAGTTCAATACTGGCAAGAAGAATCAATTTATTACTAAAATTTAATTAATGTAACTTATGATAAGCATAATTATAATATTTATCACAAAAAATATTTAAGTAAAAAAACTTTTAAATAAAGTATAATTTCAAAGTATACATAAATGATTAACTTTTACACGAAAAGCACATAAAATTGTTTGAAGAATTAACAGTGGAAGTATTTTTTGATACATTTCCCCAATCTTCTTCATGTCTCGAAAAGCATTTGAAATTTGGAAATGCCCACTGAGCAAAATCTATGCATAAATCTTTGCCATAATCATAGCCGTGTTTTTTCTTATTAGTCACTTCATTACCATTTCGATCATTTAATGTTTTGCTAGAAATAAAATCAGACAGAATTACTGTAAATGTTAATTTAAAAAAGAAAATCTTTGATGTTACAGATGTTCACAAAATTAAGCTACTAATTAAGCTTCTTTTCTTTTTTTTCTTTTTTTAATTTTTAGTTTATTTGGATTTAAGTAAGAGTGTGATAATATTTGATAAAAATTTACTCAGAATTACTGCGCAAATAAAATTACATCAAATAAATTAGATAAAATAAATTTTTTGCATAAATTAAAATATTATTATTAAATTTTTTTAATATAAATTTTTGTAAAAACAATAGTAAAAGTATTTTGGAGAGTTTGTTAAAAAATATAATGCAATAAGCACTTTCGAAAGTTTGTGCTTATACAGTTAATTCAAAATAAGAATAAAGACATTATGTAATCAAAAGTTGTGCTATAATTTTGAAAATATTGTAGAGCTGATTTTTCAAATATCAACAGAAATAATAACAATAATAATAATAATTTTTTTATTCATTATTATTGAAAATAATTATGATAATTAATAAATGACAAATAATAATAATAATAGTATCATTTACGCTTACAGAATAACCGTTGCATTTGCAGGTTTTGTAAAGTCGATGATTTGTAAAACAGATAACGGTAAAGTGGTTGACCTTCCAACGAATACCAACGATTCTCGACTTGTTAGTGGCTGCTCAATAATTGTATTCGTAGTTTTTGCTGCTGAATCACCTGAATAAAATTTATATTTACTCTAATGTCAACTTTTCTAAAAAATATTAATCTCAGAATATATTTATTTTTAACTAATATAAGCAATTTTACTTGCATTCATCAAAAAACAGACATTACTTTGATTTGTATTGCAACGTTTTCAAATAATTAAGCTTACCAATGGATGTTACTGTGTATTTTCCGCAGGAAACACAATGATCAGCTTTGTCAGGTATTTTCCACTGCTGGGAGTTTTCTATCTGCTCAAAATGATGCATTGTTGATAAATCATTTAACATTAACCATTCAGTAATGCAAGTTCGAAGTTCACAAACTGACATTGATTTCGTTAAATTTTCATCAAGAGTTGGTTTTAAAGTTTGCAAAATTGACCTTAGATCTTCTTTTGAAAGGTCAAATATTGTAGTAGATGAAGAGGCAGGAGTCATCTATAATATATTTGAAATAATTTTAATTTTCTTTGTAAACAAATTGACATACAGTAACTCACAACCGCAACAATTTTGAACGTCATTTTTTAAGTTTATTGCATAGTATAAGATAACAGTGGATAAACATTGTATTAGCAACAAATGAATAACCAAATTAATTAATTAAATATGAGCTCAGATATACAAGTTAAGTTTTAAATTAAACATTTTTTGACGCAATCGATAAAATAACTTACTTTTTAATTCTATTTAAATATATTATATTTTTATTTAAAAATTATTAGAAAAATGCCTATCAGATACCTATATTTTATTTTGATATAGCTGTAAAAAGAAACCTTTAATAAACTATACAAGCGATTATTTCTATTAAAATATTAAAAAAATGGGATTGAAAAATTTTTTAAAAAGTTTTTCAGATCAAATTTTGTTTCAAATAATTGATTGAGATTATAAAATATAAAATCAAAAAACACTTAAATTTCTAGGAATGCTTGTCTAAACATTTATGCCAAAATTATTAGCTCAAAAACTAAACAACTCGAGAAAATGTCTTGTTCAAAAAAGCACACACATACATCCAAAGACATCTTTAATACTTCACATCTGCATGATAAAAAGCCAGCTGCAGAAATTTTTTTATAATTATTCGCAAGAAAGCATAGAAAATGAATTTCATTAGAAGTATTCAAAAGATTACATTTTTGTAAAGTATGAAAATTTTTTTTCGAATAATAAATTACAAAAAAAACTCAAAATAAAAAGTTCACATCTATTTTATCGAAAATCATTCAAATTATTCAACTAAAATGGATCAGTACTGCAGTAATTACTAGCATCTTTTTCATAAACATCAAGCTAACATATTTAAACAAATCTACTTGTAATTAATTGCTCTTTCAAAAGCTCACTAAACTCAATAATTACAGTAAAGTAATTGAATTTTTGAAAGCATTAAAAATGTTCGCTATATTTTTGTAGAAAAACTTGCTTTGATGAACAAATAAACACGCTTATCATCATTCTAAACACGCTTATCCTGCTTTTAAACAGGCTTCTAAACATGCGTACTTATCACGCTTATGACGCTTCTAAACACGCTTATCATGATTCTTATTCCATCTTTTGGAATATTTAATTCGTACAAATTCAAGAAAAAAAGGCAAAAAATTTTTGCTTCAATTCAGTAAATACAATTAGTACTTAATTATAAATTAGAGTAATTTTAAAATCATTTTCTGACTGAACTACTTTTGATTCCAAATAGTGTACGCCATGCTTATTCTACGCTTATTCTCACTACGCTTATTCTTTTAATTATTAGAGAAATTCCATCCTTTTGATTTATATTGAAATTATTCATAAATTCATAATTTTAATAGCAAGGTTTAGAGTAGCATTTGTTCAAAAATTGAAATATTTCCCTGTCTAAAAATTGAAAAACGCAAATTTATTGAAATAATTGGTGTTTCTTGATAATGAATTTTTTAGAATGGGAAACTATTCAATTAAATTTTATTTTTAAAAGAGCTGGCAGTCCCATATATGAACGTTTTTTTGAAAACGATTCAAAAATTTGTTAAAGACAATTCATAATTCTGCAAATCACAATTCTATTTTATGATTCAGAAGAAATTTACATCACTTACACAAAATTTTTGTATATACAGTAATTTTACTTTAAAATACGGTTAAATTTGAAAAATCGAAAATTTCAATATCAATGAAAAGAGAACCAAATTTGTCGAATTTCCAATCTTGAAAAACAGGTTTTGCTGATGAGAGCACGTGTCTTATAACATTGAATTTGCTTAATACTACGGAAAAATGCCAATTTCCTAAATTAAAATATTGTTGCTATTTTATAATAGTCGTTGCTATAGAGATGGCTTGCTGTTTACAAATTATACAAATATATCTGATCTATTCATAATAGAGTACAGCAAAGCTCAACCCTCAGTATATAATTTTACAAAAGTAGTAGAGCAAAAACCTGAAAGTAACTTTGACCTAGTATATGAGTAATGTAGTAAAAGAAAAGTAATAGTCAGTGACAAAAAAAATTAACTTGACCTTTGCATTTTTCATATTAAATATGGGTAAATTGCAAATTTTTTACAAGTCACAAAAAGTTTCTATTACAAACAAGAACAAACTGATGAGCACAACAACAACAAAAGTAATCATTTATCACTATCTGGAATGTGAAGTGAAATTATTTACTGCATACAAATTGATTAATTTGCACGAAATCCTTCGAGATGGATAAAGTTAGCAATTTTCTGAATATCCATGCATGTACTCTTCTGCATTTGGCTTTTATCTCTTTGTTAGCATCTAAATTTTATTGAAAATAATTACGAAAAAGCAATTTAATAGAATTAAAATTGAGCAATTCTTTTCTGCTCGTTATTTATGGATGAAAGTATGAAACAACTGAATCAAAATTATAATAAGACTGAAGATAAAATTCATTTAATAAGTGAAATTTGAATGTCAAAAGTTAATTCTATGATTTATGGTTAAGACTATAAAAATGTTTAGTGAATAAAACGACGAGGCGCAATATTCAGACCACATCAGTCAGAGATATAAATGAATATGCAAAGAGACAAGTAGACTTTTGGTAGGCTTTCAGAAATCTTCAAATAATAAAATTGTGTGCATGTTTGCATATACATATGTATATATGTGTGTGTGTCTGTTATGTATGTATGTATGTATGCATGTATTTGAACGTTCATTTCAAGTAAACACACAAAATGACAAAGAAGCAACACGCAAGCATTTATTCCGTGCCGTAAATTATTCGCCATTACATATACGCTTAGTATATCTACCAGACTAGTTAAACATACACAGACAAAGCAGAATAAAACCAAGCCAAGTCAGTCTACACTAAACCATACTACCAATTGATAGCAACAGCAACATGCAATATTTTTTTTAAAAATAAACAGATAGATACACAAACACACACACACACGCATACATACACACGCATACATACACGTATACACACGCGCACACACTCGTTCATTGATTATGTCAAGTTTTTGTCTTTTTTGCATATTTCCTTTCTTCTTTTCATTTGCTTATTTTTTGCACAAATGAGACTCTTCTCTGAAATAAAAAAGAACTACTGCATATGATTAAGACAGCATTTAGTCTTCTTCATATAACAACAACTTATAATACACGCCAAAACGTTCCTCAGAAATCATCCAAGAAATTGTGCAACAAATGCAAAATACTAATGAAACTATTCGCCATTTACTAGATGAGCTTTTTGTGAAAACTTTAAGCTTTTATGTAGTAAATCTGACAAAGTCTTATCTCATTATAGCATAATTTCCTTCCTTAAATATGCAACGCTATTTTCCAATTGTTTATCACTTGACAGTGATAGCTTAATTGAAACAAGTGATCAGGTACTATTGTACTGCACTGTTACCATTCTGCTTCATTAGGGATAAACATACAAAAAAATTAAGACAGTGAAACACACCAAGTACAATTATTATAACAGTTTTGACAATGTTGTGACGAAGTGAAGTTTGCTAATATCAACTTTATATTCATGAATGAGTTGTAAACACATTAAAATGGTATACAAAGTTAAATATTTCAATGCATACTTCTAGAAAAAAGACAGTTTCTTGCAATTTCATGCATGGGTATTGGGGTGCTGGTATCTGCTATAAGAACGAAAAATATGACCCCAGTTATTGAATTGAAAGGTAGAGAGTACGGGTAAATTACACTGGTGATTAATTGCACTTTTAACGTTTTAATAAAAATCTGATTGCAGAAAGTTAAACCTGATGTTACCATTCTTATTGCTTAAGATTCGTTTGATAAGAAAAATCATCGTAGTCACAATTGAAAATTTAACTTTAAAAGATCTTGACAATGTCTTGAGGCACATTTACAAAAACCAGTAGTATTCAAATACATCCTATATATCCAGTTCTGTATATTTTTTGCCCATTTTTTGATAACTCTGATTTTGGGAACTATTCATTACACAAACATGACCACCCGGACTATAATGACTATCTTTATGGAATAAACAAGTAACTGAAAAATATATTGCATATGCATAATTCGAAATATTAATACCAATGAGTAAATAAATTCGTAGGCCACTCATAATAAAACAATGCCAGTCAGATATTAAAACTACAAAGACAAATATCGAACCAAATAAATCACTAAGCATAAAGTGGACCCCATCTATATTACAGAAATCACGCAATAAAAACTTCTACCGATACGGACCACTTTAGTCACAAAGAGTGACCGGCAATAAAACCTCAATCTTTAATGCAGACTACCAACTGTTTCATGCATATCTTGTTACTTCTGAAATCCTAATGCAATCCACAAAAGTAAACAACGATCCAGATTTTATATAGCATATAGAAATTCAGAGTACTAATTACAACATGAAACTTAAATGTTTACTTTACAGTTCTAAATAAAATAGTTTTCGAAAATATTTTAAAGGCAGCACTAATAGAATAAACTTTGAAAAAAAATTAAAACTACAAAATGTATCACATTATTTACATCGGTTTTATTTGGACAATCTGCAATAATAATTGAACAAAATCACCGTTTTGCGACTTTTTATTTTTTATATCTCTAGGTCTGATTTCCAATGCAAATAAACATTCGGAAGTATGCAGACTATTAAAGGTATTTTCAAAGGTAAAATAATGATAAATTAAATTAAAAGAATCAATAAACTGAAAAGAACAATTATCGGAAAAAAGCGGTTTGATATGTTGGCAACAACACATTGTTCAATAACTACTGTTATGAAAACATTTCCAATTAGTTGTTGTCATCTTTATCTTTAGTGCCATGCTTGAGCATTCGTGTAAATTCAACGTAGTCAAACATACCATTCTTTATAGGTGCATCACGGAATAACTCATCGACCTGAAATTTTAATGTCATGTAGGAAACTTCAAATTCATGATTTCAAATATAAACAAAAAATACAGTATTTTCACACTAAGATGGACGTACAAAAAAATTTTGCTTCCAAAAATTTTAATAGTTACTTGTTCATCAGTGTATCGATCACCCATCGTCGTCAGCAGTTCCCGAAGACGATCTTCATTCAAATAACCAGTGTTACTGACATCAAAACATTGAAATGCGTTTTTTATAACCTGGAATACTTCTGCTGCCAAATAATAAAGATGATAACATAAAATCTTGATACCTATTCGAAAACACCAAAATGCAATTCCAGTGTATACGTGAACCATATCAGTACTCTAAATAAAAGTGATGAAAATTCACATGTAAAACTATAAAATATAAAAAACTAAAGTAAATTAGACAGGTAACCTCCTCCGGATCCGTTCCTGTTAATTTCTCGCCAAATAAAGTAAGGAACATTGTGAAATTGATGGGTCCTGGAGCTTCACTGATCATTTTTTCCAAGAAATCTTCATTCACTTCTTTTCCTGCATATGAACACTCACTGATATGCCCGATCAAAATTGTTTCATAACAGCTTTTATTAACATAGGCAGACATGAAAATTCTTGCCGATGATAGATATTATCAAATGTCGTTCAGGGCCTTACCCAAGACCCAGTGAAATTATCATCGGCAGGAATTTTCAAGTCACATCTTAGTAGACAACATTAACATAGATGCAATGAAAAGTACGCACCAAGAGATGCAAACATGTCTTGCAAGTCTTGAACGTCTATGAAACCATCTCGATTCTGATCGATCATATTGAAAGCTTCTTTAAATTCCTATAAGAAAAAAGGAAGTCATGACTGAAAAATACACTTGTCAGATCTTAAAACGCTATTTAAGTAATTACAGATGAAACCACGTTAACATCTACATAAAATCTCAGTGCTCTGATAGAAAAAGTACCCCGCAAAAAATATCTCATTATTAGTGTAACGTAAAACATTGAAGTAATTTCTCACAAACAAATAATTGAATTCCATATTAATAGCACTATAATATGTTATTGTATCATTTAACGAAGCAGCAAAATTCAAAAAATTAATTCAAAAGTATTTATGAGTCTGAAAAAAATGACTACAATAATAACAAAAAGAAATTAATTACCTGTATTTGAGCCTGATCAAACATAGCAAATACATTGCTCGTAGCACGCTGTGGACGAGGCCTTCGATTCAAAGTTTTCCTGGATGCCATCTTTGAAATATAACGAACAAAATTTACTGCAAGTATACTACTTTTTTAATTAACGAAAAAAACAATCAGACACATTGAACAAATGAATCTGTGAAATGTTTATACAAAAATGTAATAAGGAAATAAATGACATCTGCTACTTTACAGCTGATCAACTTGGTGCATGGATAAAAGACTGAAAACAACCGCAATTTATGAAGTACAAAAAAATGTATGCAATAACGAACAAATCAGTCTTACTCTAGCTTACGAAACTTGTCTAGTCAGCTTTCTATCCTATCTTTGTTCAGTCCAATAACTGAATAATTTTCAAACTATGATCATACTGTTGATAGTATTTTTAAATACTAAAAGCAAATAAAGCTATAAACCAGTCCGCAGTGGTAAGACTGGAGTGTAAACTTTGAACTTTAATTTAAGAGAAAAAAGAAAGTGCTTTAAGAGTAAATGCATAATTCTCCAATAGAATACCAAAAATCTATACATACTCAAAGTAATGTAAATAATTGAGGTACCAGAAGAATTTGCTAATATTTGTATCATAAATTTAATAAAGTGTGGTAGTAAATTAAGCATGAAACAGAAAATGCCCACTATGAAATTATGCGGTCTCACAACAAAATTCCACATTCAAAATTTTTCAATATGTCTAATAGAGAAATAATTTAAAATTCTTATAATATTATGGTGGGAAAGGTTTTAAATTCAACCCACAAGTATTCATTGGCAATTAATAACTTGATTTGCTATTGTAGTGATTTGTAGCAACGAAATTAACGGATGAAAAATAGCAATGTTTAATTTTAAATCTTTTTTAAAATTAATTCATTCAAATTATTCAATATTTATGTAATTTTAATTGTCTTCTTTACCTTTTGAACAGTAAAATTTGTTAAGGTTTGTACAGTTTTTGAAGATAGCTTTAAGACCAGTCGTATTTTTTAATGCATAATTACTGATTATCTTTAGAGTATTAAGCATCATTTACAAGTAGAATTTAATACTTGTCAGATAAATTTATGATTTTAATTATCATTATGAAGATAGTCTCTGAAGGAGGAGCTTTATTTCTGGTTGATAAATGATAGCAAAAGTGACTAGTTTTCAAAAATAAAAAAAAAACAAAAGATAAAGTTGAGGTAATCATTGCCAACTGTTTAGTATTATTCTTTAGGTTTTTATTGTTGTAACATAGTGTTTTAGATCGCTTGTGATTTAATCAGCCTGAATTATTTTTGAATTCATTCATATTTACAAAATTTAAAAATCATTTTAAAACTTAAAGTCAGTTGGTGTACTCGTGACTTCCGCTAATTCGTTCTCAAAAATAAAATAATAAAAAGATTATTTTTAGTAATATATGTAAACATTTAAAAAACCTTAGAATCAAGTTATTTACTTTTTCTTGGAAGCTGAAACCTTTGGAAATTGTAGTCGTAAAGTTTAAGAGAAGTAGGAATTCTTTTTTAATTTTAAGAAAGGATTGCAGTTCTTAAATAAATGAGTGATATTAGTGAGTGGTTCTAAAATCCTTGGGTTATGTTGAGCAGTGAGAAAATATTTATTCTTTTTTTAATGATAGTCGAAAGTGTTAGTGATAAATACTTCAGGTAAGATAATGATTCTGAAACTTTTCTCCTTTGGAATTCTCTATTTAAGTAGCATTATAATACTACAAGTTTATAGTATTCCAACAGGTGTTGTCGTTGATACCAATGATCAATATGATGGTAAGATTCTTTTGCAAAAATAAAAAACAATTTATTAAATTTTTACAGTAGAAATGATAACAATTTTTAAAATCTACAATAAGTCAGTTCTCGCATTTCTTGAAGTTGCTTAAAGAAATATGATAAAATTCGTAATTTTGTTGATATTTAGTAGTAGCTAAGATATTTCAGATTTGCTACCGCATGAAGTGAAAAACTTTGTGAACAGTTTCACTGCGGAAGAAAAAGCTGAGCTTAAAAAGTTTGCTGAATTGAATTCAGCAAATTTTACAATTTTTGATACACAATCTTTCAATTTTCTGAAGGTAATAATACCATTTATTCATACTGAAATTTTTGCAGTATGTTGAAAAAAAATTAGTGAATAAATAATAATTTTGAGCTATTCATTCACAAAACGGATTACTTGTAAAAAAACTATCAAACCACTGATGACATGACTTTATGGGATAAATTTTATTTGCTAAAACTTGAATACTTGTTTTTAAGGAAGAAGCTAGTGGACTTTTTAACAAATTAACTGTCTTGAGGGACGTTATTGATGCTAAATTGAGTGGTGTAGAACCAGAAAGTCGTACCTTCATCGATAATGTAATAATATTTTTTTACTGATTTTGTTTTTAATTTTTTTTGTATTTGCAAGTAATTATTACAAATGCTATTGATGTAACTAACTTAATTTATTAGCGAAAAAAGTTTTTGTAGAAAATAGTTCGAATTTTGATTACATAAACATTTATGTAAATATTTCTTTAGGCTATACAACGACTTCTGAAAGCTTTTAGTGAGGATGGATTGATAAGTATATCGAATTCGTTAAAAACATTTGGAAAAGAAACGATTAAGAATTTTGACAAACTATCGAAGAATGCACAAAACGAGTTTATCAAAGCCTTTCCAAATATTGCATCATACGCAACCAGTAAAATGTTTCAGAATTTCCTTTTGTTATCATTAATTCAGTAGTTTTCAACAATTTTTAATCATTTATTTCAATTATCTAAAACTTTGTAACACATTTTATTCAGTGTCATTATTTTCAGGTGACATTGCTCGTTTGATATTCAATAGATTAGCCGATCTTGATTTATTTTCTAAAAATTGGACAATAAGACCAACAAATGAGTTAGATTCTGACCATATTAATACAGATTCTACTGAGGATTCTCTAAAGCATCAATCACCTTACCCAGTTATCACTGAACCTGATGATTCTGATTCTCCAGCAACTATGCATCCGACGATTAATGATGATAACAGTACTAACGTCGATGAACCACTGTTCATTAAAAAAGAAGCTCATATCGAATAAATGTTTTGTTTGACTGTATGATAACTTTTAAATTGCTCTTATGCTGTGTTACATCATTCATGATGGTAATTTTTTGTAACGAATAAAAAATTTATTTCAGTCCAACTAGTTCAATTATTAGAAATAAGTTCAGATTAATTTTTTTTATAGCCAAAAACTGAATTTTAAAAGGTAACGTTTGGTTTACTACACACTCATTTTCTAATTATGTTTTATTAAATACAGTAACGTTCGAATTTCAGTAGTTTATTAACTGCCTGCAGCACAAACTTTTATTGCAACATATCCACTTAAAATATTACCAATCTTTGTTTTTTCAACTCAAGTATAATGTGCGTACGTAAGCGCATAATTTTAAACTGCAAACCAAAACTGTCCGCACATTTAAAATGGCTCTAGGTAATTAATTAATTAATTGATTTGAAGTAATAATAAATAATAATAATAAATAATAATAATCAACTTGTAGACTTGAAAACAATTTTTAATTATGATAGAAATAACAAATAACAAACTGTGTTTGTAGATATCGTTTTGATAAATTTCATTCTTTAACAGAGTAGTTTCATTCTTTAAAAGTAATTGCGAGAATAAAATACATTACATTGCAGTACAGTGCAATACTCTAATTAAATTGAGGAGGTGACAAAGAGCGGCGCTTAACATCAGAATCAGAATAAATATAATTGGTAGTAAAAATTTGCAAGTAACCTTACATTCAATGAGTAAATGAAGCA